TCCTTATTGTTGTTGTATTTTGGCCATACCTGCATTGCCTAGCATGAGTCATGGTGTGTGAATGGTTGGTGGTGGTTGGAGGGGCTGATGGCACATACTGATTGCCTCGCTTCTGTCAGTGTGCTCCAGGGCAGCTGTGGCTACAATGGTAGTTTATCACTAGTGAAAGAATGACATGTGAAGCGTCTTTGAGTGTCATGAAAAGTGCAATATAAAACCGATGCATCATCATTATTACTATTAGTGTATCTAGTGAGTCTATAATTTATGTTTAGGCTTTTTGAACTTGCCTCATTGCATTTTTGACACATTTCTCACAGATTTTGGATCAGAGAAGCGTGCCAAGTATGTGCCTGTTCAAAGCTGGAGGTCAGCTAAAGTCAGCTGGGGGGATGCTGCCTGTCCCGTCGGAGAGCCGTGCCTTTGAAGGGGTCAGGGTGAGTTGTGTGGGGCGCTAGAGCTGATCCCGGGACAGAGAGGTAAACACAGCTGTGTGGACGTGACCATGTAAGGGAGGACTGCACGCTCATCTGTTTGTATTCACTTTGAGAAAGCTCAGAAAGAATGAGAGTTCTGTACATAGAGTAGCTGCTTGTTTTAGCATTTTTTTATGAATTTATTCTGAAGTGTATATTTCACAAAGGACATTTGAAACACTGCATTTGAGTCATACACCATTCTTTATGGGTGCTTTTGAGTGAACAAGTCCCCATCACACCACAGACCTGCATCAAAACATATGGACTGGCTCAGGTGACCAGTGGTCCAGTTGACAGTTTTTTGATTTCACATCTCCAAAAATGTAACATAATTTGTCCCAAGTTTTCTGCAATTGGACCAAGTGGATAAACAAGACAACTTCTCATGAAGAATGATCAGCATCCTCTATAATCAGCTGATGTGAAAGCTCAGATCCAAAAGGTGTTCCTTGATTTATTTTTGTATTTGTTTGGTCCTACTTTGGAGGTTATGAATGACAATGCAAACCCTTTTTTTCAATCATAATTATTGGTTGTGTACTTTAACATCAATGACGGCTTTGAGTTGTTTGTGGTAGCTGTGGATGAGGTTTAGCCTCCAGTTTCTGTAAATTCCTGCTCTGCCTTGCTTGAACTACCTATTTGATATCCCTCAAGGTCTGCCACCTCTGACAAAGAGTGCAGATCTAAATTAATCATAATCTCCAAAAGCCAAAATAATGAAATCCCTGGCTGAGTGAAACTTCGAAGCACAACTGTAGTAAAAATGTTTTGACATCCTTGATGGTATTCTTGATTAGACGGCATCCCATAATAATACAACAAAAAGTTCACCCCGGTGGGTTCAATTAAATGTACTTTATATAGCCCTAAATCACAACGGCAGTTGTCATGGTGTAGTCCACTCTTAGCTTTAGCTGCCTAAAAGTTGTTTTGCCTGGACTCTTCATCAATATTGGTGAAAACCAAGTGACTTGAGTGGTCATATCTCTGGAGAGTCGAGCATGCACCCCATGATAGAATAACATAGAAATAATGTACACATTTTTGATAACGCTGAGAGTGCTTAACGTCTACAGGGCCACAAGACGATAGCAGGCCCCTTCAGAAAAGTAGCTTTCTCCATACCTCCTCATAGTGTCCTGGATTCCATTTGCCTCCTGCTGTTATGTCTTGGCTAATGTTGCTAACCACAGATGCTAAAGTCCTAACAGGCAGATGTTGGACTCCACACTTTAGCACCTTCCTGTTGTGTTTACCAGAGCATTCATGCTGTTCTTGCTCTTGCTCGTCTCTGGAGCCGCTCTCTGTGGGTGGCTTGTTCTGCGTCTTGTCCAAAACCATGTATCTCGCCCTGTCGGGTGCGTTATAGCCAAATTAGGCAGAAATCTCAGAAGATACACAAACAGGCCTGCACTCCATATGGAATAAACATTTGTAATTATTCAGCCACACATGATATTACTTTATATGAGACCGGAGCACTGATGATTGAAACCTGGCGCAAAATCTGCTTCGAGGTATTTCTAAAAAAACACTTTGGGAAGGCCTGTTTTAATCTTCATGCAAGTATATAACATAGTCAAGAGATGCAATTTGTCAAAAGAGATCAGTAGGAATTTATTATTTGCATTTTAAATACATGTACAGCTCAGCTCAACCATCATAGACAGTTGTGATAATCCAATTGAACCGGAAAATAACAGCATACACTTTCTTAATGAGATCTCAATCTGTGCTTCTTTTCATGAAAAAACAAATTCTGTAACATTTATAGGAATTTTAGACCAAGCTCAATACCATCAAATGGAAAAAGTAAAAATAGAAGAATAAATGGCTTATTGACTTTAAGTAATATGAATAGGGAATGCGTCTACTGTATTTTGTCCATTCACACCACACACGTTTTTAAAATAAATCTTGAATCTTAGTCTTGGCCATATAGATTCTTATATGTCAGCATAGTGTGTGAGCGACGTGAATGATGACCAAGACTTATGCTTTTCTAAATGAAAACATATGAGTGTGGAAACAGCCTATATACAATCGTAAATGGCCTGTCCAAAGATCAACATGGGTTTGATCTATAGTTTCTAGTAGCAACAAAAGAGGGACAAGCAAAATACTGAGTTTAGGCCTCTTAATACAGAAGTCGTGGGTCCAATGTCTGGTTTAATGTGTACATAAGTGGATAGTATAGGCACAGTCTTATCACAATTGTTACCATGAGTCACCAGCTTCTTTCTAAATTGACACAAACCGTTGAAAGATTTTCAACAGACAGAGGTGGAAAAAAAAGTTAGTCTGATGTTAGACTGCTAATAAAATATGAATATAATACAGAAGATCATACGTTCATGGACTGGTTTTCACATCCTCTCATCTGACGTTTGCTTGTACCATTTTGAGCTATAACCTATATTTGTCTTCATTGTGCCGAGCTGAAGTTCACAGTTGGTGGTTTTAGTTTACAAACAAATTCACTAAATTCTGGGAAGCACTATTTTCCAAAGACACAGAGGTGACATCAGAGAGCGACGAGGGAGAGAAGTGATGACTTTCTTTTTTTTTTTATCTGAGAACTTCAATGTGACAAACAATTTATAAGTACATAAAAGTCATACATAATCCATTTGATATAAATAGTGATCAAAACACATTTTCTGTCACTCACACAAGAACACTTAAAAAGGAATTATTTTACATATAGTACATAGCAAAGGCTTCATACATAATGCACAAATGCAAATTAGCAACTACACAATCCTCTGTGCGAAATACTGCTGTTTTGAGATCTGATACTTTCTTATAAAAATATATAAAAAATAAAGTAAAAATACAAGTCTCTGTAGTGTTAAGGGGTGCATTAGTATTGACTGTTCTTGAAGCTTGGCAACACAACATCCGTGTGAACAAATTGTCAGTTCGAATACGGTTCACTTTAAAGTCAGAGGCCTTTCTAAAAGCAGCCGTGAGATAAAGTAAAAGCTGTAAGATGTCCACAGAGGAGTTGATCTCTCTGGCCAGCCAGTGAGGTAAAACATGGAAACTACATTATCTACAGCTAAGGGATCTCTCTGACTGTCCAACATGGAAAGTGCATCCTCCATGTTGTCTGTTCAGTTCAGCAGACCTGCGTCACAACAAACACGGGGTCACTGGCTGGTCCTGTCAGCCTAGAGGCCCCCTATTACAGTCCATAACACTGAAAGAGAAATATTGTCAAGTTATTCCACCACGAAAAGGTAGAAATGCCCCAATCTAGGCACATGGCACAAAAGTTCCTTCATCAACAGCTTCACTCCATACATTCCATTTAAAGTTGAAAAATGTCCATTGTGTGCGAGTTATCCTCAAGTTTAATTTAAATAAAATACATACATTATGTTTTGAGATCTAGACAGTCCATCTCAAAGAGGACGCTGAATTTCTTCCATTTAGACTACAGATGCTCTTCAGGCACTCCAGGTTTCTCTCTTTCTTCAACCCTATGCTGTTGGCTGCATTGTGTCCGGCCTAAGACTCATGGCTTTGAATGTTTGGGCACTTGGCACAACAGCTTTAGTGTCATTTGTAGGTGTAGAGCATTCATACATTCCAAAGTTGCGGAAGAGGCAATTCCCTATTGTGGGCAAGAGGCAAAGTCCCTATTGTGTTGTCTATCTAAAAGAACACTTTAAATACAAACGTCTTCAAAAATCCTTCATATTCTCATCTCATGGTCTGGGCTCTGGTCGAGTGAGGGCTCCCTGGTGCTGATCATGGATGCCGATGGGCCTTGGTTGACCCCAAATGGTGAAACGGCTGGAGATCTAGCAGCCAATGGGGAAAGAGATGGGGAAAAGCTTGGAGACATTGCTGCTGATGATATTGACCCTTCATGGCTGATGGGAGACCGCCGCAGGGAGGCTAAATGAGGGAATGTTCGACCAATCACAGGAACTTTAGGAGGGACTGACATAGCCCCAGGATGAGCCACTGATGTTATAAGTGGTGGAGGATCGATTCTTGATTTAGTATCTATTTTGGGTTTAGGTTGGAAAGGTGGACGTGGATTTTGCGTTTGCTGAGCTGTTTCATCTTTAAGCCGGGCAATTTCTGTAAAAACATTAGCCAAAGGTTGGAACTGCGGACACCAGTTTAGAAGGTAGTCCCAGTTGTAGCTTCCTCTCAGCTCCTCATCACTCGCTACTATAGCAGTAAGAGACCCATCCACGGAAGGTTTGCCATCTTCTGGGAAAGCGTAGTCTTTTGGGAGTGATATGTTGAGCCCTCGTCCCACTCCAAGATACCCTCCTCCCTCATCCCTGTAGACTGGCATCTGTCCTGAAAGCAGTGTCCCGCTAAGGCTTCCTCCGAGTTTCTTTCCCTTGAACCAGGTGCTACCCTCTAAGCTTGAAGGCTCGCAAGAGATGTCTGACAACTGATCTGCATCTTGCTGGATTCCAGAATCAGGACCACGGGCTGAGATGTGTTCTTGCATCGAGGAAGTTATGGAGGCCACTCTTGGGTACTCATTTATCATTCTAATTTCATCATCTTCCGCTGCCTCGGCCGACCCCCTCCCGCTAGAATGAGAGGGGTCCAGCGATCCTCCTCTGGGGTATTGACCACCTCCTGCCCCACTTTGATCAGATGCATACCCTGGCAATGTTTGATGGTAGAGTCTTTCCCCCGGACCAGAACTGCACTCGTCAAGCTTTTGCATTGCAGTTCCAGATGCAACATTTCTATTCGCTGCTTCTTGCCCTTTCTTTCTTCTCCTAGATTTAACCAAGAAAACGATGACAGCCATGACCACCAGTAATACTATGAATCCAAGAGATATAGCGATGATGCTTATTAGCAAAATGTTGACGTCAGGAGCGAGGCCAAAGTTTGTATTACTGACGTCAATGGAAACCTGGGCTGTTGTGGTCCTGGAAGAATCTAGAGGGCTGTGAGCTTTTACGTCGAGATTCACGAGTCTAGCTTCGCGTTTACCTCGACCTGATCCAGAATTGCTACTCGAGCTGCCAGTGCTGTCCAACTTTAGGAAGATCACACCAGTGGTTTTGTTTACATCAAAATAAGGCGAGCTAATGGGTAGCGAGTATAAAACGATCCCGTCAACTCCTCCGTCTTCATCATTAGCCTGAACCTGTCCGATGCTCTGCCCTTTCTTAGCTCCTTCCGGGACCTCAAAAGCAAATTCTGCTGTTGTAAAAAGTGGATCGTACTCATCTTCGCCTGTCACAAAGACCTGGACGGTGACAGTGGCAGAGTGGTTACCTGAGTCAACAGCTAACGCTATAAAGTTGAATGAGTTGATCTTTTCAAAATCAAATGACATTTTGCTTCTGATTTCTCCTGTGTTCTGGTCAACAATGAAGCTGTCTTTTCCCACACTAGCTCGCTCAATCATAAAGTACTTAAGATGGCCGAATACACCGGTGTCGTGGTCTATGGCATGGAGGACAGTCACTGCAGAGTTGGCTGGTTGGTTCTCCCTGATGCTGGCTGTGAGGACTTCCACAGGGAAATATGGGTGGTTATCGTTCACATCTTTGACTTCGATAGTGACGGGGGCTAAGGCAAAGTGGCCCTGTCCATCTGACGCCTGAACAATGACGACGTGAGTGGATTGGTGTTCCCGATCGAGAGTTCGCTGCAGTCGTAACGCTCCAGTCCACTGGTCCATAGTAAACAAGTTGACCTCATCTCCAGAGCTGATGGTGTACTGGATCTGAGCATGTGGAGTGGAGTCTGGATCTGTGGAGGAAAAAAGTACATTGTGAATACTGACAGGGCAATTAAATACTGTATATACTGTATCTACAAATTCAATTCACTTTGTATAGCCCTAAATCACAACAGTTATCTCGAAGAACTTTACAAAGTTGTTGATTTGCCAACACAGATCAGAGAATCAAACAGTTCAATCACAGGACATGCAATGACAAAAACACATAGGTCATCAGGGGCAGATGAACAATGTCCATACATGTTGAAAAAGTCCATAATTGTTCTTGAATGTTGAGTGTCTGGGATCAAAACCAGTGGGAGTAAATGAGAAACTTTGGGCAGGCCCACATTGATATAGTATATCGAATGGGGAGAAAGCTCGATATAGAGGATTTGAAATAATTTTGCCAATCAGGAAGCAGTGTAAAGTAAGCTAACCGGTGCTTTCATTTGAATATTCTGTAAAAAAAAAAACAATCAATTTAAATATTTTGCCTATAGATTTTCTGTGATATACTTTCATTTTGAGTCACTTTATTAAATAATTTTGGATTTGCAGTTGTACAGATTTCTTTGTCTTTGTTTAACTTTGTTTGTTTATCAAAAATAAAATATATTCAACTTGCATGGGGGAAAAACAGCTGACCTTAATATTTGTCATCATTAAAAACACGCACAAATGTAAACAGATATTGAGAGAGACAGGCAAAACATGCTGAGAAAACTGCTTTATACTATTTCACAAGCGAGTGCGTTTCAACCAACTCTCCAGGAGACAATGAAATCCATCAATTATACTGCTAAACTGCCATGTTTAAAACTGTGAACAAGACTTTGATCCGTCCTAATATCAGGATTAGTTTTGCTCACCTGTTGCCGTCAGCCGTATGATCTCTGTCCCAGCAGCTGCTCCTTCGCTGAGGGCCACGGTGTAGTCCGCTCTGCTGAAAACTGGCGGGTTATCGTTCACATCCCCAATGGCAATAACAGCAGCCACACTGGAACTTCTCTGAGGCACCCCACGATCCGAAACCACCACGGTCAGATTGTACAGCGACCTTGTTTCGAAATCCAGTCCTTCAGCCAATAGCAGCGTCCCGACTGTTTGGAATCCCCGGCCTTCCAAGTATCTAACGCTGCTCTCGATCTGAAATGCGTTGCCATCATTCCCGTTGGCGATGGCAAAGTCAAATCCGCAGTTCTCCCGAGAGAGATCACTGTCAAAGGCTTCAAAAGTCAAAATGGTGGATCCCGCGATGCTGTCCTCAGACACCGTGGCTCTGCAGAAAAGAGTGGAAATGTATTTAAAGTTGACGATTCTCAGGGTGACAGCATAATACAGCAGGAAATAAACGGATAAATGAGTTTTTTGGCTGACCTGTATTCAGACTGGTGGAACAATGGAGCATTATCGTTGACGTCAGAGATTTGGACTTGGACTGTGGTGAGAGAGGACAGCGAAGGAGATCCGCCGTCGCGAGCTTCAATAACAATATTGACGGAGGGACGTTCAGGGTCAAACTCGGCTCGCTGATTGATGAACAATGTCCCTGTGTAGTAAGAAGAACAAGTGAGTCACAAATCTGTGTCTGCGATGGAAAACAGAGAGATACAGCAATACCATATGTACGACCCTTTTGACTTGTTTTCAATAAAGATGGAAGGATGGATGATGGCGGATGAAAGCAAACTGAAAAGGGCTTTGTACGTAACAATGGGGATAATTGGTTTTCACCTTAATGAAGGACATGTCAATTCAGATACAACTTTCTAAGCTTGTAATTTCACTCACCTGAAGCAAAAAATATGGTACCAAGTGTAATTCTTGCAATACTTTATTTCATTGACTTTTATGTAACCAGGAAAGTTCCAATAGGATTTTAGACAGAGATCTCTTTTTCAGGGTAGTCCTGGCCCCAGAGAGACGGGAGCTATTGTACATGTTTTTAGTGGTAGAAGAAACCGTAGCACCCAGAGTAAACCGAATGCAAACTCCACTCAGATATGGAGTCAAACCAAGGACCTTCTAGCTGAGAAGGAAGAGTGCTAGCCTTCATAACGTATATAATAATGCTGCAAGGACATTGACAATGCTATTTTCCATGTCTCATTTGCAATACATTACGTGTCTTGGATTTGAATAACCCATTGCACCTGCTGTATTACCATAATGCCCCGTTTGCCCTTGTGCAGCCGCTGAAACATTGCACAAAGCTGTCAGAGAGGGTTATGTCCAGTGTACCGTTCTTAGGGTCGATGTAGAAGCCCTCCTGCGTGGATGACATCACTCTGTAGCTGATCCGCCCATTGTCCCCCGAGTCTCTGTCGCTGGCTGTTACCGTGACGACCGCGCTCCCCGCTGGCGTGTGCTCAGCCAGTGTCACCTGAAGAAGGACGATCATATTTTAGCATCTCATCGCCTCCTTTCATACTTGTAGCAGTACAGATTTTACTTTCACACCCATTTTTTTGCCCTCAAATTTTCTTTAAAAGTTGATCCAAATGACTAACAGTAGCACCTTTTTCTGCAAACCATTGAATAAAATTAGGGTTGTTTCAGACCAAACATTGACTCTCCATGCCATCAAATGCCACACAGCATACTGTATCTACAAATTAAAATGGGAGAATGTTTTCCCTCACAGAATACTGTAGGTTTGAAAGTTGGATCTAAACCAGGTTTAAACCAAGGCACAACTTAAGATTAAAATCATAATATAAAAAGTTCAGAGATACTAATTTATATGCACCGCTAAGACTATATATATTTACCTGGTATTTCACATTGCCAAGTAAAGGCATTTTTAAATTTTTGCATCACATTAGAATTTTTAAATAAGATGTTAGCTTAATCCCTGACTCTGGGTTAGGGATTGTGTCGAGATGTTGCGTCGCGAGTGATTTAGTGATTATAATCCAAAATCCAAAAAACTAGAGCTCATACCTGGTAGAGATCATTGGTGAAGGTGGGTGCGTTGTCGTTGATGTCTTCCACCAGGATTGTGACGTTGGCCTCGGTGTCGTGGCGGCTGTCGGAGGCTCTCACCGTCAGCGTGTACCAGGTTTTCTCCTCGAAGTCCAGAGGAGCCGTGAGCGACACGCTGCCACTGAAGCGGTGGATCCCAAACCGGCCCATTGCCGCCGGCTCCAGTCTGAGAGCGTAGGACAGAGCCGGGCTGGAGTCCACATCGTTCCCTGTCACCAAGGTGATCTCTGTGCCAATCAGTGTGTCTGGAGAAGAGATACGATGTAGTTATAATTACATTATGTAGTTATAATTACATTATAACTACATCAGATTAGTATTGTATCAGTTATATTATTATTGTATCAGTTATACAGATACGATGTAGTTATAATTCAAAATGGGACAATCTGTCTTTGGGAATTAAGGCATGGCTGTTCTTTACATTTTCCTGCTTCAGAAAAGTATAGCATCAAGAGATGAAATTCACAAAAGGTGTAGGACTAGGATGTACACTGCTACCCCCAACTCTAGGAAATGGGTAAGTAAGTGCAGAAGAAATGTTAGTTCACTTTTATCACAAAATAATCTAACCATAATTTATTTATTTTTCATATATTTTTGTTGTTGTACTTTTATTTTATTTTAGAGACATTGATTTTACAAGAAAAGTCTCATTGAGATTTCAGAATAAATGTTTTAGGGGAGTCTTGGCCCCAGGGAGAGGGGAGGTATTGATGTTTTTAGTGGTAGGGGAAACCGGAGCACCCAGAGAAAACCTACACAGGGAGAACATGCAAACTCTGCAAAGGCCCTGTCTGGAGGTTGGTCCTTCTTGCTGAGTGCTAACCTCTCAGTCTTACCATGCCTCTCTCATAGCCTACAATAATTTCCTTGGTGATTCATGATGTAATATCTAATACAATCACATGTACAGAGTAGGTGTTTGTTATGCATTTCAATTGAACTGCATTTAGTACAAACAATTTAAAATGACAACAAGGTTACATGGACAATATCAAATATTTATGTGTTCACTTACTTTCTGGAATGCGTATTTCTTGGGGCAGGGGAATCGTTGGACTGTTGTCATTTTGGTCGAGAATAATCACTGTTAGTGTAGCTGAACCGGCGAGCTGGGGAGACCCTCTGTCAGTGGCTGTAACTACCAACCTGTGAAAGGAGAAAAATATAGAATACAATAATGCAAGCACAAAATGTCTTGGGCAAAGGTCTGCTTTGTCTTGTTTATCTTTTCGTCTCTTTCAACATATTGTTTCTGACTGAGCATGATTGATAATGTGCTAAAAGAAACTGCAAACTTCAATAAATGCAACTGTGGATATAAAAGGCTTCACGTTAGGACACGCCTCATTTTAAAGCAACATAAAGAACATTATACTGGTGTATTTCTGCAGCGGATCTGTCCTCACTTGGTCTGGTTGAAGATCTCGCGGTCCATGATGGCTGCCGTGGTGATGGTTCCTGTCGTGGGGTCGATTTTAAACAATCCGACGTTTTGACCCGCCGATTGGAAGGAGTACGTCACCTGACCGTTAGAGCCCTGGTCCATGTCCTCAGCCACCACCTGCAGAAGAACAAACGCATTTATCTTATCTTTATAGGTCTTCAACATGATAATTACACACACGTAACCTTAGGATTTTACATTATTCCATTTGGCAAAAAGCTTGAGCACTACATTGACCTACATAGAATTTGTAAGTATTTTGGTTTCCATAATGTTGGTTGCGGAAACCTATTAATGGAGGTTTAAGAAAAAAGTTAGAATCCTGATCTGTCAACTAATAAAACCGTAAAGATGGGTATATTTCAGATTTCACCCAAAGAGACATTTAGGTCTAGGACAACCAAAACAAAAAATACATATACATCATACAAGTAACTCTAAGTTAGGTAGATTTCATAATGTGACTAGTTATGAGCAGCAGATAAGAGGTGATAGTTTTTAATACTGTTTATGTGAAAAAAGACAACAAATTGAGCCGTATAAAACTTTAGAAAGAGATAGAGGATTACAATGGATACAATAAAAATAAGTAAGAGAAATGGGACACATTTGTGGGAAGCCTGTTTTACTGTATGGAAAGTGTCCTGGATTCAGAAGCTTATGTGGCATTTCTGTTACTTTTGCTAGCATGGTTCAAAGCTGAATAATTTAGACAATATTGAGAAATTATACAGAGAAATATGAGCAAACACCATTGTTTTTCTTGTTTTTGAATTTGATGACAGGTGGAGGAATCCCATTTGAGCATTTTTAGCATTATTTTGTGTGTACGTATTCTTTTTTTAAACGTCTTGTTGAATAATGTAAAACTACTGCATCAGTCATGGCTTGTGTAGAAATGTTTCCACACTCACTCACATGTTTTTTTCCGTGTCTGTCTCACCTGTATAATAGGCGTCTCGTAGCCGTGGGCCTCCCTCAGATAGGCCACGTAGTTCTGCAGCTGGAAGCGGGGCAGGTTGTCGTTGACGTCCTGCAGGATCAAGTTTATGGCCATGAAAGTCGTGGAGCTCACAGTCTCCGCCTTCACCACGAGACGCAGCCGCGGAGAGTCCTCAAAGTCCAGGCCTCGAGAGCTCTCCACTGTGATCTCGCCTGGAAGAGCAACCAGAGGAACAATGGCCATTATGAGAGGGGTGACAATTGTTATGGAGGAATATGGAGTGTGTTTTTGCACTTACCGCTGGATGAGCTGATTATGAACGACTGCTTACGGTTCCCACTGAAGAGGCTGTAGCTGATGCCTCTATTGGATCCATCTGGGTGTTGAGCCACAGCCTGGAACACTGCAGTGCCTGGAAACAGCGTTAGAGGTTGAGTACCAATGTGTATATAGATTAATGTCCATTGTAGCAACTAGGGAATGTTTAATAGAATTGTTCCTGTCTTTCAAACCACAAAACAAACTGCTGTTGTCTGATTTGTTCACATTTTCTATATCAATAAGTTTTCAATACATTTTCTTTACAATTGAGTTTTTTCCTTTATTTTGTGAGAGCTACTGTGCATTCAAAAATATGGTCTGAATAATCCTTCCTTATAGGGTTATTGTGATTATTAAGATCACATTAAATAACTGTAGCAATATACTAGGCTTTACTAATTATAAACACGAAATAGAAACATATAAAATCTTACCTTTAGCAGCATTTTCTTGTATGTTGACATCTCTGGCATTTCGTGAGAATTTAATCCCACTGTACTGCACCTCCTTCACAAAGATGACCACCACGCCTTGAGCAGACTGAGCTGGACTGCCCTGGTCCATAGCCTCCACGATGAGGGTTCGCTGGGCCTGCGTGAGGCCGGTGAGAGGCTCCGTGGCCTGGATCTCTCCGGTCAGAGAGTTGATGCTGAAGCCTTTGACCGGAGTGGCGAATCGGTAAAACACAGACCCGTTGGCTCCAAAATCCTTGTCCTCTGCTTTCATCGTGGCTAAAACGCGCTGGCTGCGTTTGCTAGAAACTTCTATGATGAGAGGGTCCTGGAGGAAAAACGGAGCGTTGTCGTTGACGTCTGTGATTGTAACGATCACCTGGAAACACAGAAAATACAGTATGTATGAGAGATTTGTAGTGTTACATTTTTTTAAATTGTTGTTAATTATCTGTGTAAGTCACATTTATGTGTTTATATCCATATCTTATTTTTATGGTATTGTACTGGGACTTTACACAAGCTATTAAGGAAAGACCAGCCCACATTTTTGCTTCACGGCTTGTTATACACTGTCATTATGTAAACAGTTTCTTGTGTGACGTGTGTGTAGTTTTATATCCTTCTTCTGAAATTTCCCCACTGTGAGACGAATAAAGGATCTCTCAATCTTAATCTTAATCTTCACCTGATCCACAAGTAAGCAACAAGCTATAAAACAGTTTGGTATCTATGCTGTCTAAATTCCCGCTTCAGTTTGTCTGTGTTGACACCATAGACTGAGTATTGACTGACAATGCTAGCCCTTAAGCTCAATGAAGCCCAGTAGGGAAGTGCTCATGAACAAAGTTTTGCTGCAACTCGCTCTGGCTTGACATTTAAATTGTCCTGTCTTCTGTAACTTTGTTTTTGGAACTGACTTGTATGTGTATTATTTGTATATGCATGTTTTTAAATGTGAGTGCATTGTGATCCTGGTCTGTGAAAGGCGCTATACAAAAAAAAAAAATCTAAGATCAGTAACCATTCACCAATTTGGAATTACAAAATCTGTGGTTTATTGCTCTCTGTGATCTCAATTGTGACATTGTCTTTGTAAATCCAGATATGAGCCATAAGGAAAAACCCACAGCTGTTTGGAGGTAGAACATATTGTTGGCGATGAAGCAACCAGTGAATTCTTCGTCAATGCCTTCACAACAGGAGAAAATTGCAAAGAATAAGGATTTAGCCATGTTGGGCAAAACTTTTATAGACTCCAGCTGCTCTTTCAGGCTGTATCAGTCAGAACAAGTGAGCGCAATCCAAGGCACATTTCTGAGTTAAAAGCAGTTGGAATTCAAAGTACATTGTGGTTCTGCGCGCTGCGTGTGTTTCAGGAGTACAGTTACAGCGTTTTATACCTGAGCTGAGTTGTTCCTGGGTTCAGCAGGAGACAGATCCACCGCCAGCACCTGGAAAGTGTACGTGGCCACTCTCTCTCTGTCCAAAGGGGCAGATGTGATGATATGTCCAGTGTTTTCATCGATAGTGAAGGCACCATGGGCTTCTTTGCTCAGGAAGTACAAGACCTTTCCATTAAATGCTTCGTCCTTATCTGTAGCTTTGACCTGGAAATAAGATTATATCATTGCATTGATCATGAGAACACTACAAAAGAGTAAAGTAAGCCATTAGTTGACGTAATGAAAGCCATTAGGTGCTGTAAAACCAAATGACTGCAATAATTGGCAACACAAATGAGCATTTCCAGACTTTTTTTTCATGGCGTAAGGGTGGCCATGGTCACCGCATGTGTTCAAAGTCAGTGTGACAGATTAGACTTGACTTTTCACAAAACAAACTTAACATGATTTAGCTAAATAGTTAAGAAATATTATCCCAGTTTTACTCTATTTTTAGATTCATAATTTTACTTCCTGGTTTTGATTAATGACTTCAATATAGGGATATTACCAAGCAACCCTGTAATTAACGGGGTACATCTCACATCAAAGTACTGAAATATTATTTTGATAAATTAGATTTAATTAATAATAAATGTTTAATTAGTTGAGTGAATGATTAGGGTTAGTGTCCTAAAATGTTTGTTGTGAATCTTGCAAAACCCTATCCCTGAAGATAATAATAATACGAAATTAGTCATATCCACTTCAAGGTATAGTTCTGAAAATGTAATGCATAACCTTTTGCTTATTTAATTTATGTTTTTCACCATTTATTTACCACAGAACAAACTTTTACTGTGGAAAAACACTGAGACAATCAGCAAATTTGGAAAGAAAAAAATATTTATTCAGATATATTCCAACTTGGATGGCGGCACAGCAGGTGCAAAAAATGTGATTGTGATGTTGTTACAATCAGTAGTAAAAAGTAAAAAGCTTTGTAAAAGTTTGGCTCACTTTCTATCACCTTGTGTGGTACTATTGTAAGGACGCATCTTTACCTCCAGAACCGGTGTCCCGACCGCCGCGTCCTCAGACACTTCCACCGCGTAGCTGCTCCGTGCGAACACAGGGCTGTTATCGTTGACGTCCAGCACTCGAACGCTGACCGTGACCGTGGTGCTCTGAGCCGGGCTGCCCTTGTCCGTCGCCACCACCTCCAGGTTGTACTCCGCAGCTGTCTCTCTGTCCAAGGCTCGAGAAGTGGACAGAGCTCCTGTGCTGGCGTGGAGCAGGAAATCTCCATCTGGATCTCCACCTGAGCCCAACCAAGAAATGACTGAGAATTACAAGATGTTTTTCTAACATGAGTGGTGAAAGATTGAAGAAGGGGGATAAGTGAGCGATGCCAATTCTGCACATGTGGCTGAATTAACTCCAGACAAGCTGTAGTTCAATTGAGATTTTTTAAAGAAGACGCAATAAAATAGGACAATGGTAGTGTTGAATAGGAATGTTCATCATGCCTTTTACTCTAATGGGGATTCATAAAGTATTTATCTATCTATACATCAATGCATCTACATTTAAAGGAGATTACACTTATCTAGAATGTAAAAGTAAAGTCATGTCAAATGGTAATGTTGTGCAATACAAAAAGCACAGATCTCTTCCAAGGCACTGGTTCAAACAAGCAAAAAGTCTAACCCCAAACATGTATAAGTTGGCATTCAAAACAAATTTTTCTTCTTCAGCCCATCATCATAACAGTCCTTGGTTTAAAATTTTTTTTAAAACATACTTGATTTCCCAATAGCAGATCAGAAACACAAACAATTAAAACAATCTTTGGCCAAAAACAGTAAAAAAAAGCCATGTTCCTTTTTTGACTTGAATATAATTGTATTTGGGTTTTAAAAGTGACCTTTGATTTTTATTGTTTTGGAGAAAATAAACTGAATTAATTTTAAACTAAACCACAGTCAGCCAATGCATGCATGTCCCAGAGCATTCCATTTTTACTCAGGGAGAAACTTTGTCAGGGAAAAAAATCTCCAAAATCGAGTGAAAAAAGATAAACCTTAGAGAGAACTACAGTATAGAGATCCACTCCCGTAGACATGAGAAATAAGTGAGTAATAACTGTTGGAATTTTACCATTTCTCCGCTCAAACCAAAATGACTCCTCAGTAACTTAAACCACTGAACAGTTTTTGAACATAGATGATAATAGAATACTGTGGTTTTTTTTTAAATACACAAATATCCAATTATTACCGGTGATCCTGTAGTCCAATTCTCCATTTGGGCCCAGGTCAGGGTCCGAGGCTCTGAGTACACACAGTTCCACAGGAGGCTGGTTCTCGGGCACTTCCAGACCGTACCACAGCTTTGCAAACACCGGAGCATTGTCATTCACATCCTCCACCTCCACACGCACCACCGCTTTGGCAAAGTTTGACGGCGTCCCCCCATCTCTGGCATAAACTGTAGACGATGGAGAACATGTTCAGATTAGGCAGTTCTAGACTTTGCTTTTGTGGTATTGTCTGCATATCAGATTATTTAAAATAGTTTGGATATATTATTTACTGATAATAGTATATATATAATGAGTATGGAACAATACCAATGGATTTACAAGTTGTAAACAGTTTCTCGCTCTATCAAGTTTTCACATTCTTGTCATTTTTTTTCGCGGTGAAATCTTAAGATCAAGTGAAAACGTAAGAACCACCATGACTCAGACAAGCAGCTCTCAGCCCAAAAAAATCAAAACAGCGACTCACGGAGCACTTTCAAACAAGTACGTAAAAGATAAAATGTTTTTTTTAACAAGACAAAGACAGCATGTTGTGGTCTGATTTGTTTCAACAACGTTTTTACTTTTACTTTCTTTTACAAGACCCCTTTCTGTTGGAACAAGCAAAATATTACATTATGAAAGAAATTAGGTACCCAAATTGATGCTAGAAATGTGGCACATTTATGGCTTGATAATCAGTTATTCTGTGCTCACTGAATGTGAAATGTCTTGCTAAATAGTAAAAACCTGACAACCCAACAAAAGTGTGATCCTCATACATTCAATAATAATGAAATATGTCCACTGCCCTCCACATGTTTTACTGATCAAATGTTGAGGTTTATTGAGCTGCTGTGAAAGTGGAAGATATTCTGACCTGTGAGAGTGTAGTGGTCATGCAGCTCCCGGTCCAGCTCTCTGGTGGTGGTGATGGCTCCAGTCACCGGGTTAATCAGGAAGCCCTCCTCAGTCACCCCTCCGTACATCACATGACCATTAGAGCCTGGACTTACAAAAAATACACAACTTTTAATCAAATAAACCAACGCGGCTCGAACAAGACTCCGACAGACCCAATTAGGCTCCACAAAGTTGAGCCGTGTGTGCTGTTAACCGCACGTTTCATTAGCTGGTATTTGCTCTATAGCTTGTGGTTCTGTTGTCTATTTATAAAAGTTTATTGGTTGGTTTGAAAGTTCTTTCCCACTGCACAAGCATTTAGACTGAGCTGATGATCACAATGAAGTCGCTCCAGCAATATAATAGTTTTAACTGATTCCACATGGGAACAATTATACTTTAGGTAAACTTTAATAATTGGCATTTTTGTATCTAACTAAAAACTGCACTACGCTTTCTGCTGAGGGATTCCTGCTTCCTGTTTGAATGCAAAAGAGTTTGAAGAATCAAATACAATAAACTATGAAGTTACATTCTAATATAAGATGGTTATTTTTATAATGAGGATTGACATTGTCTCTCAAATTGCCCCTTTAAGATTTCTGACTATCTGTTGTGGTAGTTGTGGACGAAGTTCTTTATCCTTTGATGGTAAAGCTGCACATTCTACTTGAATAGAAATGCTCCAGTGTCTGTAAATTACTGGGCTGCCATATATGAATTTGAGGTCCGCAGATCACCTCAATTAGGTTAACCTTTTTACTTTACACAACCTTTAACGAGTGGGGAAAAAAACTGATTGTGATGTCATTCATAATCTATAAATTATGGCAAAAATATTGAAATCTGAAATCATTAGTCTTAGAGCACGTGTTCTTTAGGAACAATGGTCCCAAACCCCTGGTCTGCGGACTGGTACCAAAATGTGAGGCATTTGAACCGGGCCTCCAAGGTAAGAATACATAAGTTTTTATTATACGAGTCTATCCTTTTTTGAAAGATTATGGGATTCTCTCTCTACAACTTGGTCACTTGACATCATAGTCCTGCCCTTCAACATAGGACAATAACCCAATGTGGCCCCAAAGACAGAAAACACAGATCTGTAAAGGACGAAACTTCACCTTGGTCGCGGTCTGTGGCAGTGACGGTCAGCACGGTGGTCCCTGGTCCTTTGTTCTCCATGACGACGGCCTCAAACTCCGCCCTCTGGAACACAGGAGCCTCATCGTTCACGTCGATCACTTGGACGCTCAGCACTTGAGACTTAGACAGCTGTGGTATCCCATGATCCTCTGCAACGATGGTCAGATTGTACACTTCATGCTCCTCGCGGTCCAAGGCTTTGAGTATGGACAGAGATCCTGCGAATGGGAGAGAGAAATCATTGTGTTCAATGTTTTATTAAAGCTGGGGTACCTTATTTTCAGGCTACAAAACATGGAACTATGTAATACAAATCTTGCTCTCAAAACAGTTTGGTTTAATCAATAATTCAATTTTCTGTCACATCTTTAGATCAGCTTTTTCGGACAGAAAAGTGAAAAAGAAAGGACAACTCTCACGCGACCAATCACATTTTAGCACAAAGAATCAAATTGTGACTCGCAGGGATCTTTTGTACAACTACAGTGAATGCAAAAGATAATATGTAGGGGCGACAGTAGCTCAGTTGGTAGAGCATTGGCCTTCAGGCCTGAAGGTCGTGGGTTCATTTCCCACCTCTACACCTTCTCCACCGACTCCCACTGATGACTGCTGTCGTTGTGTCCTTGGGCAAGACACTTAACGCCACTTTGCCCAAAGCCCCCACTGAAAGATCAAGGCTCTGCTCACAGTCAGAGAGCAGCCGTCCTCCTGTGGACTCACCACCTGCAGAGGGTCAGTGAGGGGCTGGTGCTGTGAGACTTGGGTGGTATCTCTGACTGCCACCCCCCTGACCCAGAAATGGATTAAAGGGTAGAAAATGGATGGATGGATGAATATTTTACTTTCACAAGACTCTTTCAGTTGAGACAAACATGTATTTTGCATTACACAAAAAGTTAGGTACCCCAGCTTTAAGTGAGTCTGACTTTAAACACACAATTTTGTTTACTCCGGAGAAGCATTCACGATTAGCGGTAGCATGCACCAAAGCAATTTGACTTCTGCTTTACAGGATTTCCAGTGAAAATTAGGATCATAACTCTTTCATATAAAGTTGTTTTTTATAGAAATAGTTGAAGTTGACCAAATAACACACACACACACACACACACACACAAAGCCAAACAGGCCTCAAACGCTACTGCGGCTAATCCATTCAAGCAAAAGGTCAGCCTCATAACCTGAAAGTCATTAAATTGACGGAAACCTGGCAACAAAAACTATTCACAATTTCTTTTCATTTCATTTTTATCAGTTGTGCGTTCACCTCTGTCTGTACCTCAAATACAACGCAGGTTGGCCAAAGTGATAGAAAACATGACCTGTGTTTCTGCCAATAGTGTCCAGGTTGAACAAGTGAACGGTACAAGAGAGACAGCCATGAATCAAAAATACGTACAAATGCCAGGCATGTACATCAAGTGTGAAGGTTAGACGTTTCTGCAGAACTTTTTCACAGTTCAGATAGAATATTTAATTTATTATTCTGCGCTGTAGCCAAAGTTCTGCATCAATAGAGCTGGTAGAATACTTAAAGCTACGGTAATGGGTTATATTTGTAGTGATTTAAGGCAGAATCAAAACGGTTCTGTACTATCTCGATCAAAAAACATGATCAAGCTCACGTACAACTATTATCCATGCTTTCTGATGTTGGTGAAGTAAAAACGTTAAATATCAAACTATTCAACACATGTACGGCAGCACCAACGTAAGGCAAAGGATCTTAGAATCTTCCCAAAGCATTAATAAAGCGCATATACTTCGAAAACCACTTGAGAGGAGGCCGTAAACTTTAAAGTGGTCTTTGAAATCCTCTATGCAGCCGTAATTCTTAATAGTACAACTTCACATTGGCAGAACAAACATATCATTTAGAGGCTAATGATACGCCACGCATTAGCAAAGCGGTTTTGGTCGATGTCTTTGCAAAATGCTAATCCGCTATTACGGCTATTATTAACCTGAAGTTCAACATGGGAAAGTGTACTCCGGTTTTATAATGGGCTAAGGCCTGGTGCCATATGGTGCATGCATTAACGGAGAGCCTAATCTTATTTCAGCCAACGACAGGCACGGCCACACTATAGAGCCACCCTGCTCTTGTGATGAGGAGATTATAATGGGATGTATAGAATATCAAAGGCCGGTCTACCTCCCCAGCCCAAATAAAGAATGGTTCCCACGGGCTGAGCTATCAAGAACTTTATACACTTTTTCTATAGTAGTTGGTTTTAAGGGTTTTAAGTGTTTTAGCAGTCAAAACACCATTGCTGCTTTTAAAATAATGTCTTTAAGGAAATATTGGCTCACTGCTCGGTTGTCAGTATTTGATAATTATCTACAAATCATAATTAAATCCTGTATGAAGTGCTACACATTTCACTTTGTGTTAAATCATTCAACAAGAATATTATACTGCGTTTTATACAGGGCTGATGGGGTGTAAATTGGATATTTATGGGAATTTTGCGCTAACCACAGAGTCCATTTTGATATTATTACTTTTTGATAGTTTTATATTGGATCTCAGGCTGTTATAAATGGCGCACCGGTGTTGGGGTTGAGGCTGAAGCGGCCGGCGTTGTTTCCAGACTGGATGCGGTAGGAGACGCGGCCGTTTTCGCCTTCGTCGTCATCTCGAGCCATCACGTACAGGATCACGAAACTGTAACAAAGACACAGAAAGAATGACATTAACCGAGTCAAAGAAATGTACAGAGTTGTCTTTGTTTGTGTGGTGTGACATTATAAAACATTTTATATTGAGCTGGCTGTGACTTTTTTCCATACAACAAACCCACAAGCTGCGTTTACTACAAAAGTATTTCCCTTACCTCCCACAAAATAAATTAAAGTTCCTTACAGCATTCACTCCAAACAAATATTCTCTCTCTCTACTCTCTGTAATAAATGTTTTTACCAGTGACCCAGCAGCTGACCCAGCTTTTAATATTGTTTTGGCTTACTGACTTTGATCACAAGCGCTATTGTTTTGGCTTCGACCTGTCTATGGAGGTTTCCCTGATGGCAACAAACAAGGCTCATATCATCCAATAATATCGTTTTATGAATCGTCTAATATGCTCCATGGTTAAAGGCTTTCAAAAGGTCGTCTGAAGGCTGTTTTTACAATCAAGATGTTTTGCAAACTTTCAATCAGCTGTTTCATGTTGAAGCCACAAATCACATGTTTTAAGAAAGTGAGGCAAAAACTCTTTCAATGAGTTTTCAAGATGGAAATTTTGTAAAGGGGAAAATATTGGTGGACTGAGCTGCAACTAGACCTGCCACGAAAACACATTTTCATGGATGATATATTGATGCAGAGATGCACTGTGATTAACAATATTATTGCCATGACTAAACACAGCAGGAGATGTTTTTGATTTTCTCTTTAACATTAAAAGTCATAAGTTAAACAACAAAAACAGCAGAATGAATTAATTATAAAAAACTAACTTATTCAGCTCAAAGTGTATTGGATTGCAAAGATAATAGAACATATATCGCTTAGAAAATGTGCAAATGGTAAACTCTTTGGGCTTAGGACTTAAATACAGTCAGAGAGGACGCAAATCACCTGAGAGGGATTTTCAGCCAAATAGGCAGACAAATAATTCAACCACTATTGCACTAAAACTGTAACAGAGTAATAGAGAGAATCAAATAAACACTAAAATTAGAATTTAAACTAGATACTTTTTGAACAAGCATTGAAATAAAGAAAAGAACAAATTACAGTTATAGAATGAAGTTATAGAAACAGTTGGATCACGACGAGTTTTGAACCTTGTGGTGTAAAATACGATTATTGTTTTGTGCCGAAGAAAGAAGATCATTTCCCAAAAAGAGAATTATAAGATGATCACACTACTATGTAAATTAGTATGACATATTTTGGAATTCTGCACAAGCTGTAGTTGAACCCTTCAGGACTCACCCCACAGGCTGGTCCTCCATGACGCTGACCGCAGACGGAGAGCTGAAGACCGGGGCGTTGTCGTTCTCGTCCCGGACAAAGATCCTGGCGGTGACTGAGCCCCACCGCCGCTGTGACGCGTCCACGGCCTGGTCTGTGGCACGCACCACCAGGTACAGAGAGGGAGTGGTCTCACGGTCCAGTCTCTTCCCCAGCGTGAGGACTCCAGAGACCGGGTCCAGACTCAGGAGCTCTGGGGAGTCCGGCCACTGGTGCTCGATGGAGTAACGCAGCTCACTGTTGGGACCACTGCCATCCTGGAGAGCGGACAAGTGGTTAACATCACTAAACATGTTAGATTATAAAAGCAAAAGTGTAATGTATAATAAAAACAAACATACACAAAATAAATAATACAAATACAATATATATAATATATAATATATATATATAATATTATTAAAAAATATAATTACAAAAAGAGAATACAACAAATAAGTCTACTCTAATAAACATCTCTTATTCTAAAATAAAACATTTATTTATTGTATTTAGTTTTTCTTTAAACAAGGAGAGAGAGCCAATGAATCAAACACATGATAAACATGAATATAATTTTTTTTTTAAAAAGCACATAATATAGGATGAATATAATAATATAAGACAGGACAATCAAAACATGAAAAAGGACTAACAATAACGTTGAAAATAATTTACTTATTCTCATGTCTTCATATATGTTTATATTGTTTTGAATGCTGCTTCTATTCCTACTGTTCCGTCACATGTGCTGCAACACTGAAATCTCCCCACAGGGACAAATACAATTACTTTTGTAGAGAATTACATTGAATTACATTGAAAATTGCTTCTTCTTGTAATGTACAGGATTAAATGCTTCTAACTCGGTACAATGAATTTAATGCTTACTTTGTTGATACAAAAATCACTTTGAATTGCCAGGTGTGCGAATTATGATACACAGATAAACTTGCATTTCCTTTAGTAGTGTTGCTCACCGATATGTCCAGTGAATGTCATTCTGTGCATTTTGAGTCTGTTGTACAATCTTATCCAGCTACCAGTTATAATTCTTCTAAAATATGTAATAAAATCTGGTTTAAATTGTACAAGTAAAATGCACAAACAAAGCATTAGCTGTAATTAAACTATGGATTTTTCATTGTAAAAAGTGAATATACAAAAACGGGTGAACCCACAAACCTGGTCTATGGCTTGAAACGTGTGCACAAAGGCCCCCGGCTCTGTGTTTTCTTGGACCACGATAGAGATGGGGTCTTGTGTGAAGTGAGGGGCGTGGTCGTTGTTGTCTTGAACGTAGATGTCTAGCTGCACCGTGTGGCTGCTGGGATAGGCGTGGGAGAAATCCGACACTTCCACCTGCAGCGTGTACCGAGAGCCCTTCTCGTAGTCCAGCTCCCTCACCAGATACACGTCCCCCTTGAGTCGGTCCACCATGAACGTCCCGTCACGGTCAGTGCCACCCACCACCAGATAAGTCACCTGACCGTCCCCCGAGCTCTCCCGCGATCGCACCGAGCCAATCACTGAGCCCGGTGTGGCGCCCTCCACGATGTTCAGCATCATGGACAGGACGTTTGGTTTGGAGTTGGACTTGGAAGAACTGAGGACCTGAAAGAGATTGAGGCGTTCAGCAAAGAGTGAGTATTGAAGAGAGGTGTAGGGTCAGAGAGTTTGGACCTATGTCTTGTTTGAGTGTGTGTGTGTGTGTGTGTGTGTGTGTCTTGTCTAATTCCATTATGAAGTGATATTGTATGTTGTATTTTAAAGATTTTGTTCCAAAGTGTCAAACTGCTTTTGAAAACTGTGTCTCATCTAAAAAATGGGTTTGAAAAAAAATATATTGATAGAGAGGTTAATGGACCATAATAATGACCCTTTAGACGTCAAAAGAGCAGAATTTAGACATGAATCAAAGACATTTACAATACTCCGACTCCGGCTTCCCACAAACGTTTCCCTAAATTTCTATTGCATATTTTTCATTCATTTATTTCTGTGATTGATTTCAGTACTCCTCTTTCCTGTATAAGTTTCAGTGTCTGCTTCAAATCAAATTCTTTAAAAAGGTTCAAAGGACAAGCCATTCATTCTGATTGGGTCAGTGCTTCCAAACTAAATACACTCCAATCCTTCATTCTTTTTGTTATTTTTAGATTATCTGTAATTTTAGAGTTCAAGCTACTGATCCATCTTAAAATGCTTAATTTGACCTAAAACAATAGGAATACAGCATTATTGTGATTCATGTGGTTATGTTTTGTCCATTACAATACAGACATTGTAATTCAGGGAGCCCTCCACTAATCCATCATACAGGTATTTTAGTAATAAAGATAATGTTAGTGTTATGGATGGCAGCTATTAGGGGGTAGAGCAATTTTTACATAGAGGTGTGGTGTGTTTTGTACAACACATGTGGACGTTATTGTTATTTCCTATGCATTTAAACAGGAAGAACCTTGGAATAAATGGTTGAGAATATTCCTTTAAATTCTGAAGACTTGATCTGTTCTTGTTCTGTATTCAGTTTTGCTTTGGGTTTCTCATTGTTTAACCAACTCCCTCATTGTACTGGATGAACAAGCACTGCAGCATCATGTATGTTAGATATTTAGATATGTACAGTATGTATAGAGTATGTATAGAGTGGGTCGTGTAAACCAGTGTGTGGCAGGGAACTTAGTGTGCCTTCAGATGTTATTCAGTGCGCCTTGGGAAATTATTCAATATCACCTACTTGGTCAAAATAATGTGGAAAAAGAAAGAAGTAGAAGATCAGAAATACTTCTTTGCACTTCTTTGATTTTCTATATAATACACTTTGATAAGATTTACCTAGTTTTGTCAATAAAGGCTGCAGAGTAACATCAGTATGTATCAGTTTCAGCTGGTGACGTGCCATGTGATTAAAAAGGTGTGCCACGGCTCAAAAAGGTTGGGCAACACTGGCATAAACACCAGGATTGCGAGAGAACGTCAACAGAGAGCGAATTGGGTGAGGCGGGTGAGTATTGTCCATCTATGTACAGTCTATGGTTGGATGTAGTTCCCCGATTTTTTTCAGACAATCAATCTGTTCCCAGCCCATCCCGAAACACAGCCTTGTGCTGGAGTCTGTTTCTATTTTATTGTTATTAGCGTAATAACCCACAGAGGAATTAGACTTCAAGACATTATGCACAAGCTTGCCAATAATACACATACCGATACTGATTTTGGCTACGAGATAAGAGCAAAAATCTGAGAACTCTGAAAAATGTATAATGATAGTGATGGGAATAAATTAGGCGTATTAACAAGTGTGTTTGAATATACTCTACACAGTCAGGTTTGATTCTATTTCAATGAATATAAATAAGCAGACACTAAACTTCATCTCATATGGTACTTACAGAGCAGATCAAAGTGATGAATAGACAGATATGTTAACAAGCTGAAATTCAACAGGCTCTGGGGAAAGAAGCTTGTTTGTACTAAGTAATTTAAGGGTATATCGGTATAATTAGAGAATTTTGTTAACTTGTGCCTTGAACAACATTACCCAAAGCAGCGGCCTGTTCTGCTCTTTATTTTTATATCTCCTCTTATTGTATTTGCATAGACTTTTATGAATTTTCTGATCAAGAAAGTGTTAGCGCCTCAATGATTTGTCGTTTTTAGATTGTAGCAAAAGTTATTACAATCACACAAATGCATCATGAAGCAGAAGAACAATAAATAACCTGTGTACTGTACAGTTTTTTTTAGTTAGTTCTTGTTAGTTTTAGTCTTCCCTTTTGAACATGTGAATGGAATAGAAATTTGGTTTTGTTTGTATGATTATATATAAAGTTATATATATAAACACATGTTTCAAAATTAACAAATGAAAAAAAATATGAAAAAATAGTTACTGTCGTTTTGTGAAAGTAACATTTTGGGAAGAACTCAGACGATTTATTCTTGTAAGAAAGAACCCTTTGAGTCCCTATTTGATACTTTTGGGCTGAGATCTAATTGGCTGCATGAGTGTGGTCCTCTCTTTCCACTTTTCTGTATGAAAAAGCAGCTCTAAAGCTGTGGCTGAGGCCAAAATACACGCATGTGAAACCGAGTAAGACAACCGAAAAGTTTTGAGAACTTGGAATGATAGATGGATTTTATCGAATAGTTTATTATTATGTGGTCTAAAAAGTAGGTAACCCAGCTTTAAAAGAAACCATAGTCATAACAAAGGTGTGAGTATCGACATAATATCTACATCAACATACTTATGCACTTTATTATTTTAAATTAGAGTAGAACATTTCAATAACATCAATTTAATCAGCGTTTTCATAATTGCCAAAATACATTAAGCTAGCTACGTCCAAAATTGTCTATGCGTCTGTTGGTTTATGAAACGCTATCTCAAAATCATTATGGTGGAACGTTACCCTTATGTTTTTTACATTCACAGCGTGTATGTCCGACGGGCAGCTACCGTGTGTATTTCAATGTATTTCTTTTCCTCTTGATGTGATTTGATGCATCTGGTTTCCATCAAAAATCATGTGGGAGCGTTTGATTCCAAGGTGCCGGTTCCCCTTCTGTCTAATCTCAAAGTTGCACGAGCGTTGACGCCAGCCCGTACCAAAAGCATGCACTCTCGTTGTAATTAGCAACTCCTTACCTCTCTCTAGAGTGAAATCATAAGAAAAACAGAAAACCAAAAACACAACGCCATCCTAAAAAAATACTTCCACTTCCATAATTTAAAATTCCTGATTGAACACGTTGATATTCGGACAGGGCCTGAGGAGAGTCCAAATTTGTAACAGGGTCCAGACAAGTTCCAGCCTCCCGTGGACTATGGGGTTTTGGTTACCTCTTTAACCCCTGGAGCAGGAAGAAGGAAGTAGATTGGAAATATCTCTTGTTTGGACAGGCAAAGATTTAGTTTCCTTCTTAACTTTCTCTATCGTTTTGTAAATGTCCTTTGCAATTCGTTTAAGGAGAGACACTACAGGGAAAGCACACAACGTTTAAAAAAATCTGAACTAAAAAATGCCCTAAAATACAATACATGACTGTGTATATTTGAAGCCATTTACATATCCTGTGTCAAACCCTTTCTTACTCTTCCCAACCCAAACCCAAGTTTGTGTTGTTCAAAGAAATTCTAAACAAATTATACAAAAAAGATACATAAGTGATTGTATTATTATTTATATATGCATATATCTAATCATGAAAAAAAAAGTTGTTTATATTTTTAATTGTTTTGCGATTATATGTTTATTTAATATTTCTTGACAAGCTAACAGACTTGGATGACAATTACTATGATTTTCATTTTCCTATATGACGCTGAAATGTGCTAAATAAGTAAAGTGGATTGGATTAAACCAAGTGGCAATTTTAACATAAACAAGATATACCGAGAAGCATTTGTTCTCAATCTGTTAGTGCTTATACAACTGACAGATCTGGTTTGAAGACAGACGACCTTTCCTAAAATACTAATTTAGCCAAATTCAAGCTTATTTCTAAATTCTCATTCTCTGCACTGGAGAACTCAGTAGTCCTCATTTCTCATTGCGTTTTACCTGGAGGTGTGCATCTGCTTTGCCTGAAATATGCAACTATATGACAATTAATAGTAATAATGCCTGCGCTTTAAGGTCTGTTGAAGTCTCTTAAAGCACAACACTGTATTCACTCCACCAGAGAGAGGCAGCTTGGAGAGACCGGAGTGCCTGGAGGAAACCCACCCAGACCCAGGCCCAATTGAACTATCTATCCATATGTTCAATATGTGTTTTATCACTACAATAGACTGATTGTTCTACATCTTGGCCTTGTGTACTACCTGCTAGTCTTCATGGAATCCATAAATAAGATCAATGTCAAATAAGAAACTACACAAAGAATAAACAGTCCGTAGTTCAGGTAAAAATACAATTTATGGTCTGTATAAATTGTACCTGTACTTTCAATTGCAAGGTAGGTCACATAAAACTAGCACTACTGTAAACATCAAGTAATAGCGACATATAGAGGTGTGTGCTGCTGTGTACTGACCTGTATGTGTATCTGACAGGTGGAACTGAGGCCTGGTGTCCCGTGGTCTGCAGCCGTCACAGTGAAAGAGTACTCAGAGCGCTCGGCAAATCGAAGAGGAGAAGAGGTCCGGAGCTCACCGCTGTTTGGGTTTAGGGAGAAACGCTCTGCTCTGGGGCCTACAGAAACACATGTACATTCATTAGCAAGATGGTGTATACAAATATACCATAGAACAAAAGCCAGTTTATTTAGTGCAGAAGCTTATTTTGGGTTAGTTTTGCAACATTAGTTACAATGGAAACTTCTGTATGAGTGAGTGATTGCACCGACCTGATAAAGAGTAGAAAATTGTGCCGTTTTCTCCCTCATCTGGGTCTTTGGCTGTTAGTGTTGTTATAACGGATCCAGATGGAAGCCCCTCATTGACCTACATACACACAAGAGACTATTATCAACAATACGGAAATAACCAAGAGTCTATATTTCCTTCAAAGTAATCCAAGTTAGAGTATTTTTCTGACAATACACAAGGCTTTAATCTTCTTTCTTTATCTTACCTGAACCAACAGCTCCCTGTCTGGCCTCACGTGCGTAAACAGTGGTGTATGGTCATTTTCATCCAGGACAGTGACATGGGCAGTTCCTGTGGCGCTGCGAGGGGGCGTGCCACCATCTAGGACCACTACAACCAGCTGATAACTTGACTGCTGCTCCCGGTCCAACGCCAACCGAGTACTTATCTCACCTAGCGGGAAAAAAAACAAGATTTGGCTTAGTACACTTTTGATTTATGAAGTGCTATTTAGACGTTATAAGCTTTACCTGTTTGTGCATTGATCTGAAAGTGCTTATCCGGATGAAGCAGTCTGTAACTAAGCCGAGAATTCAGCCCTGCGTCCCTATCAGTCGCCGACACTCTTCCAAATCCTGTCCCGGCCATAAGATTCTCCCCGACAGCGAGGAACACTCTCTCTTGGCTTAGTCGTGGTGAGTTATCGTTCTCATCGGTCACCGTTACCCTGACAGTGGCACTACCGGTCCGCCCCACTCCTCCTTGTCCTGAAGTGGCTAGGACAGTGAGTAGATACATATCTTTAATTTCGCGATCCAAAGAACTGCGAACAAAAAGCCACCCGCTATCAGGCATGATCCCAAATCCCGCTGCGTCGCCATCCGGTCTAAGGCGATAGGATACAGGGGAAGCAGAGGTGCCCCCATTTCCAGAAGATTCTCTGTTCAATGCTCTAACTTGTAAGAAGCGGGTGTTAAGGGGACTATTTTCTCTCAATTCAACTCGGTAAGTCAAAGTGTCAAAGTGTGGGCCCTGCTCGTCTTGAGCTTGTATGTGAACAACGAGGGTAAAGGTAGAGCTTAGTTGCGGTGCGCCTCCGTCTTTGGCCACGATTTGAAGGTCATAGCGAGGGACCGTTTCGTAGGATAGACTTCCAATTAGCCGCACCTCGCCACTGCCGCGGTCCACGCCAAATGTCCGCTGGCCGGTACTTCCCGCAGCTCCAGCAGAAACCAAATCAAAACTGAGCTGTCCATTGTGACCCGAATCCTTGTCTGAAGCTTGTATGCGGTAGATGACAGACCCCATTTTGGTGATCTCAGGTTGGAGTAAGGATTCTGAAGATGAAGGGTAGAAGACTGGGGCGTTGTCATTGACGTCGGAGATGGTGATGCGGACTCTGGTGGTCCCATAGGCGGGAGGCGAGCCAAAGCGTGCCTGGATCTCCAACTCAAGACTGGAGCAGATTTCATGGTCCAAAGGCAGAGCAGTGCGGATGGCACCGGAAGAGCTGTCCACGGTGAAGTAGTCGTCGGGATCACCAGAGGAGATGGAGTACAAGATGTCCTTGGAAATGCCTGGGAAAAGCACACGGAAGAGAGGGTGTAATGACAAAAACACAAGCTCAGGATTACCAAAAACCAAAAGAAAAGAAAATAATAACATTGACATCTGCCCTAGCCTTGGTTTAAGCCATGGGGTTCAGCTTCCGGGTATACGGTATATGACACATTCTCATTTCCTAATCAAGCAGAATTGTTGTCGGAACTATGGCAACAGTTGCTTCTCATTCTTCAGAACTCATGGATATTGCATTTGTTGTGATGAAGTGTCAAAACCGGAGGCAACATGTCAAGATCTTTGCTTCTTCCAAATGATAGCAAAATCCTGATACTGCATTCCGCAAAGTTACAAAGATCCAATGCTTGCTCCTTACTTTACTTTAAAATGTTATCCACATACTTACCAACAATTATGTATGTTACAATTTTTGGCTTTAACGGAGCTGAGATGTGAAATGTATTATCATAAAAGATTGAAAGCTTTGTCAAGGCAGATCAGCGATGTGGTGAGTGACGCACAACACTTACATCTATATACTTTTTTGATCCTTAATTAAATACAAAGTTATGAACATATCTTGCTGAATTTTCTGTTTTAATTGTGCTTTTTTTTGCTGAAAGTGGTTGCTCTGTGGATAGTTGTCCAATGTTGTTCCTAATGATTTTTCATTTTTGAAAAAACCCTTTTTGGTTTTAATCACAGATGAGATCTTGTCATTTGAATAAACTTTGTAATGCCATACTTTGCGACATTCCAGGCAAATAAAGGGAGCTCAGAGGTAAAAATAGCATGTATTTGTTTTATTTGCATTTTTTTCTGTGTGTAAACGATTGAACAATATTTTGGAGCTGTTCAGTGGGAGGCAGTTATCCCATAAGTAGCATAAGTATACCTTTTCCATATCTTCCAACTCTATAAATTTCTCCAAACTCCTATGCGGATTTTCAATGTAAATGTCACTTCCAGATTCCAAACAGACTGCCGGGTATTATGTAGACACAGCAGTCCCATTATGGTAATTTAACAACACATGTTTGAAACAGGGAATAGATGAACTAATGCATTTAACTGAAAAAGTGATGTTTGACTTTTAAATTAAAATGTTATGTGACTTAATGAATGAAGCCTTTTTCCAAAATTATCAAAACATTTACATGGTATGGCATAAAACATAAAGAGGATATAGCCTCCATGAAACTAATGTCACCATAGTTCTTTGTATACACATGAAGTCACTTGGCCACAGCCAGCAGTCTTATATTTTCAGCAGGTAAGTGCACATAAATCGCACACATTAAAGCGTTACACAATATGAACATTTACATTCTTGGGGTGAGTGGAAGTCTGTCTGTGCCTCCTGTGTTCAGTGGAATCACTCAGGGTTCATGAAAGGTGCTGAGAGCTTTGCACACTAACTCAAACAGATAACTATCTTCAGGCTACTTCACCGCAGGTATATTTCACGAAGGACTCCGCGCCATTACTTTGAATTTAAACACGAGTCTGCTGGACTACAAAATATTTCATGTAACCAGAGGCCGTTTTGAGGGATGTGATGTCTTAAAGAACTTGATATTATGTAGAAGCCATTGTGAAAGTCCATTAGTGTATGAGCCCTGGTTTTAGTCAGGAGCAAAAGTCAAAGTTTTTAGGTCTCTCTCCACAAAATAGCATTTATAGACCTAAATATCAACTTATTGTTTAATTATTATCTGGCACCTTATATGTGAGGCTCATTCTTTAGATGTTTGTGATTTCCTTGCTAATAAGGCAGGGACAGGGTTAAAGTAGCAGTATGTAATATTTGCATGTCAAGTCATCATTAAATGGCCCCAATATTTCAAAAGGCGTTATTAAATCATACTCTTTTCGAATACATCTTTAACTGATAACAGTAGGTCAGCCGAGAAATTTTAATATCAAAATTATTTTACGACCCGTAAAAGTTGTTATTGTTTTCATTTTGGCGGCCTACCCTCCGCCACTTCGCGAATCAGGAAGCCCCATGGAAGTCCGTAATCGTGTTGCCAGAACTCTGCGCGGCTAGCTAATCTCATAGGTTAAATAACTTGTGGCCGCAAAACTAAAAAAAGTCTTGTTATGACTCTCAAATCATTAATGACAAAACAAAGACAAAAACAAGGATTTATATCGGGACGCCTCTGAAAAATTGAGACAGCGGATAAAACTTTTTGTGTGATGCAAAACTTGCTGCTTTGACCCCATTATGCATCCATTTCCCGCAATCGTGTGTGACGATGGTGTAGTGGTTAGGCTCTTGCGCTTGCATTCCGGCGACCCGGGTTCGAGTCCGAGGAGATTCCGTTTGAATTTAATTGCATAATATCACATTTTTTGACAGATAGCTCAAAAAACGGTCAAAAACTAAGATCATGATGTTTTTTGCAGATTATAGTTTAATAATTTGAGACCACATGTACCCAATTAAAATAATGTTCTCTATTTGATGTGGGACTTATAAATGTATGTCTAAAAAATAGGCGATAAATAAAATTGAAGGGTGATGTCTTCTGGAGGAAACCCTGATGTTGATACGCTGAAGAAATATGTTCCAACATCCATTCTTCCCACTCCTATTTTGGACATCAATTGCTTTTTTATTTTGCATAATCAATGTATAATTACATTGCTTTTATTTTGTTTTTGTTTTTTATCTTGTATGTCCAAATAATAATAATCAAAAAACATTAATCAAAACATTCATTCAACATTAGCACGGCTATCATGGCAATGTGAGAGACAGACAAACAACTGATTAAATAATTCCCTGTGTTTGCTGCTGGATTTGGTGTGTATCTGGCAACCTGAGTCAGGGAGAGTGGGAGAGGACTACAAAATATTGACTGTGACTGCAGTACTACTTTTGGCCAGATTTGTACATATTGCTCCTTTAAGTCACTTTCACAACAATTCAATGATACAGTATATGTAATTGTCACATAGTTGTATAGCATAATGTGTATAGCAATCTATCGTGAGTAAAAAAAAGCAGAAGAAAACGTCATTAATGATCATACTTTCTCCATCCGTTTTCTGCAGGGGTCCACCACCTTCGTGTTGCCGTGGAGATGTTGAAGTTTTGCTTGAATTTCCATAATGAGATATTTATTTTGTACAATCCAAAAAAGTGAATTCTTACAGAGCGCAGAGTCGCCCGTCTATAGATATTACCTGTATTTTGGCCTCGGGGAATCACTCACTTTTCTCAAATGATTATGGATAAGTTTAACAACAAAAGAGTGGCATATTCTTTATATAAATCATTACCAGTATGGGACCATCCACCAAGATTTTACAGTTAAAATATAAACACAGATCAGTCAAATTGTAAGGTTGATTGATTATGATAGATTATTTTAAACTGTACATTTTAAGAGACAGGCTCCCATGAGTAAAGCACGATATAGACATCGCCTCCACAGATATGACTTATAAATCATCTCTTACTTATCTCCCAGGTAAGAAAAGTGTAATGCCATACAGTGGAAATAAAAACAACAGTTATATTCACCTGTCCTTGTAGCAGCGCGGACCACCCCCACTGCGGTGCCCCTCAGCACGTCCTCTGGGACAGTGAAGAAGTAATGCAGCTGTTCAAACACAGGGGACGCCACTGAGCCACCGACAATACTGATGTTCACTTTGGCATCGACGGGCGCCTTCAGACCTCCGCCATCTTCTGCCGAGATCACCATGGAGATGACCGTGTTGGCTTTACCGTGGAGCGAGCGGGACAGCGAGATCACACCTGCAGCGAATACCAATGTCATGGATTGGTGGGATTTTGATATTACAAACAAACAGAAGAAATACTAGAATTGTGGAAGTTTAAAGGAAGAGTTTAAAGGAAGAGTAAGAAAGTGTATTATAAGAGAAAAAATGTGTGACCAAAATACATTTCCAAAAATTGCAATTTAATTCAATTTCAAACTTGCAATACAGAGCCTATGTGAGAGCTGTCTGGCAGTACACGGGTGGATAAAATAAATACATTTTCAAGCTATGTTGTTGGTGATGAGTCAAAGGTTTTGTGAGAGGGTGAAATACTGGCGCACACTGGGGTAGTCTTGCACAGTTTTTCCAATGTGGTTTTACTGCAAATGGCAAATAAATGAATCTGAATCTGAATAGTACGTGTTTAAATATCTACTGGTTTGATTAGGTGACCCTACTTTAGTGTATATGAGCATTTGGGAACCATAAAAACAGTCCTAAATGTACCTTTTAGAATAATTCCTACTCATTCATGAGGGATGCTATCAAGCAGTTTATGTATTTGACTACAGTTGAGGCACTTAAAGCTGGGGTACCTAACTTTCAAACACATTAAAATACATACAACTAGTCCCTCACTCTCAAAACAGTTTGGTTCTGTCACTAGTTTTAATATGCTAGTTTTTTTCTTTAGATCAGCTTTTTCTGACAATGAGGACAACACTCATGTTTTATCATGTGTTTTATTAAATTGCATTGTCCCCCTTTGAAATAAACTAAACTGAAACTGAAACTGAAACTCACTTTGTGTCAAATAGTGACTCTTAGGGCTCTTTCTAAATATGCAAAATATGTTTTGGAAACCAGGTTTTGTTGTGGTCTAATTTGTTCACCATATTTTATTCTTTCTGGACAAACCAAAAAGTTAGATACCCCAGCTTTAACCCAATATTGCAATGAACACAGTCCCAATAATTACAAAAACATTCAAACCATAAATTCATCTGTCCTTTGTATTTTTACCTGTGTCTTTGTTGAGTGTGAAGAACGCAGAGCTCCCTCCGGGTGCGGTCTTGTACGTCACCCTCCCGTTGGGACCAGAGTCAGGGTCATTGGCGGTTACCTTGACGACAGATGTTCCTGGTGCGCTGTGAGTACTCAGGCTGACCGTGTACAGGACGGGGTAGAAGGTGGGCCGGTTGTCGTTGATGTCCACTACTGTCACCCTCACGCTGGCGACAGAGCTGAGGCCACCCTAAAAACACACACAGTTATAGATTTAAAGCATTTTACCTTAAACATGATCTTGGTAATAATTAGATTGGTATTTCCTATTTTATGATGCAATTTTTAGACAAAATAAAAGTGTTTTTTATTTTTTTCGAAACAAATGAGTAGATGGTTAAACTGAACTAAAACTAAGAAAGGCTTGTTTTTGCAGTCTGATAGACCAAATATTATTAGGTTTTCAATTTGTGTGAATCAAATTCATTAACATTTTGTTTTCTTGAGAAAATAAGCTTTGAAATGATGTCTAATATGCTATGGTTAATGTTGCAATCACTTCAAAATCGTTAAATATCTCCTGTAATTCCCTTGTGTACACCTAGGGGTCCACATACCCGTGGTTGGAAAACAAACTTCATCAAAGTGTAATGAGTTTGACATGTGTACATTTGGACAGAAGGGGCATGTTGCTGATTTGTGCCTGAAGCTTCTAGCATTAACTATTTGTGCTAAAAACAAGTTGATGAGTGTTGTGTGATTAAAAATGATGTGTGCTTTAAAGCTTGTGTGCCTAACCCAGTGGTGTCAAACCGGTTCAAGTAAAAAAGAACAAAAACTGGTTTGACACCCCTGACTTAACCCCATTTCTTATAATTTGGTCAAATTTGTTCAGAAAATGTATTGAAATTCAGAACATGTGCACAATGAGGATTCAGCTCAACTTTCTCTTCGATCTTATTCATTTGAACTATTGCATACTTGTAATGAAGCGCCAAGTAAACGTCACTCAAAAGCAATGTTTCTTGGGGTTTGAGACGCCATGGGGTCTGTACAATTACCAGAACGTGTTGAAGTTAGTATCATTCTATCAACATGTTTAAATACAAAATTGGAATTTTATGTGTGGGAAAAATTGGGTATTTTTGTTGTGGGAAAATCCTCTTTGAATGTAAATACTTTTCGACAAACGTCAAATAGTTTCTCTTCTGCTTTGCAATAGGGACAGCCTTGGACTTTCATCTTGTGACACTGTGACAATAGATTTATGTTTCCCCAAATACAAAGCAGATGGAAAAAAAAAAATTACAAAGAAAGATGTCTGATCATTGTCTGCAGAGGTTGCTGTTCGTGGAGTCAGTATATCACGATGTAAGTAATTGTCAGAAGAAAAGGAGTTTTTGTTATGTTGTTTTTTTGGCCTTTGGTTTTACAACGACACTAAAAAACAGGGCTAGTGAAACTGAAGCGGACGAGACAGCAGTGAAATGAACCAAGAAAGTCTTAAGCATAAGATGGACCAGTATTAAACCGACCATAAATATTTTTTGAGAAAGCTCCAAAATTCTCACATTTAATGCTTAATGTCTGAAATAATTCCCTAGTCCTTGGACATTTTTCAACATTTATGGACATCGGTCATTTGCCTCTTATGGACCACAACCAATCTGTTTTCTATGATTGCATTTCTTGTGTGTGAACGGTTTGATTCTCTGATCTCTGTTGGCGAATTCAACAGTTGTGCAAAGTCCTCTGAGATACTGTAACTACTGTTGTGATTTAGGGCTAAACAACATGTATTTTTCATTTTGTTTTTATTTTGACTTTATTAACAACTCATAAGCAGGCACAAGATCCATAGCTACTTAGATTAACAATATTTATGTTCTGAATAAGACAATAAAAGTCAAGTCTACAGCAGGTTTTGTGAACGGCCACTGCCTCTTTCTCATCTTTTGATCACCTTTTTGAGACCGAAAAGATAAAAAAGTTTGGACCACCCTCACTCGCCAATCACATCTCAGCCTAAAACATCCAATACTGAGGAAAGCATGTTGTGGAATTTATTTCTGGTGGAACAAACAACATGTATCATTTATGCTCTGAATAAAACAATAAAAGCAAAAACTTGGTCAACACCATGTTTTGTAAATAGCAACAGCTTGAAAGTTATAGTTCGAAGCTTATTTTTATTATTTCAGTTTATGACCTGCATCCTCTGTGTGTGCTGATGTCTTTGCCATGTTGCTGCTGTTTGGGTCAAAGTCGCTGGAAAAGGCATAGGTGCTTTTTGCATCTCTCTTTGATGAGATTTATTGAGAAGCAGCTGCGCACATCTTTAATTCGCCTTCAGCCTCTGCAGCTTTGATCACCGGAGGCATCATACACACGACTGCATTTTGTGCCCGGCGAGGAATGACACAAATCAAATGGCGGGGAAAAATGCATGTTGATTGAGTAAACAGCTATTCCTTTATATAATCTCGGGGTAAAGAGTGAAGACTTACTTGCACGATGGGTTAAACAAAAGATTGGAAACATTGGGCACAGCCAAAGAGGACAGAGCACAAACAGTTGCAATGGGAGAAGTCTGTTTGTTTTCTCCACTTAATCTTTCCACCGTTGAAGCAATCATGAGAACGCAAGGTTTTGAACAGGTTTTTGTCCCGCTAGCCACGCAGTTGATAAAGAATGTAGACCAAAACAACAATGGGTCTTGTATTAGCACAAGTTAATTCATTTAATGTTCAAGCATGAGGTGCCCATGACTTTTAAATAAGCTAATACTAAAAACGACATTGTGTTTGTGCCAACAGAATGAGTCTGAAAGTTCAAACATTACAAATGTATACAGCGAGAGAATAGCTCATAAATTGTGTTTTTGACAACAAATATGGGTCTTAATCGCGCTCAACCACGGCTTGTAATACCACCAAGTGAGGCCAGCCTCGGGGGGGGGCGCATGTGAGCGCAGAATTTGGCTGCATCCAATTTCGTCTTTCTTTTTTTCATCTGCTAAGGGCATCAACAGGTTTGGCTAACATACATATAACACATTTTAAGATGCATTTAGGGTAATGTTATGCTTTTTGTTTTACTTTTTAAAACTCATTGGACTTATTTCCAAATGGGGGATTACATATCTACGCTCAAACTATTATCTGGACTTAAACATGAAACTGGTCTGAACTGAAGTGGTCTGTGCAGGTCATTAATAACTAAGGTAAGGCCCATAACACACTTGGAAATGTGGTTTTTACGAACTATAGCGTTTTGTATGAGCAAACAATGCGGGCATGGAACACATTCTGCTGTAGCCAAACTAATTGTGGATAAGCCGCTCTGTAGGTCCTGTTGATTTATATGATATATGTTCATCCGATTGGGCTGAAGTCAGTGCCTCCAAACCACACCACACGTCACTGGTCGACAAGTGGATTGCGCAGACTTTTAGAATCTCAGCATAGTGAAATTTCTGAAGAAAGCCCATCAACAAAACGTCTGAAAACGCTAGAGGGCTACTTTAGCAAAGCTAGCAAGTCGCTTGGTGAAACACTAGCGGAGATGGCAGCTTTTGATGGATTTTCGTTTAATAATATATATATTTGAGTGATATCATACATTATTTTACACTATTCTCCTGCAGTAAGTGAGACATAGATCTGTGTCATCTGCATAGTTGTGATAGGACCCGTTGTTACTGTGTATTAAATACTTAGTTTGACTCTCATTTTGGTTTAAGCAAAATGTTGTGAACAAATGTGATGTTGAAAATGACATGAACATGGTTTGAGACTAGTGGGTGAATTGTGATGATTTACAAATGGTTCAGAGGGCTTTGGGATGACGTTTGAGTAAGTTAAAATGCAGTTTGTTAGTGAGTTTGGTTATTAGACAGTGATTGACCGTCTCCTTTGATGTGACTGTTTCGTGTGGATGATGTGATCTTGGATTGGGACAATTGTCCTGTTCCTGTGTCCTCTGCCCCTGTCCTTACGACCGCCTTAACCCCCTTTGTGTCTCTGCTCTTCCTTCCTTGAGTTACCTACTTTCATGTAGTGAGAGTAAAGGTGTGACAAGTGTTTTTCCTGTGGCCATTAAGGGACCGGACCCTCCTGATAAAGCTTGTGTGAATCCCATTGTGTGTCAGAGAGACTGATGCAGGGTCTGAGGAGCGGACAAGCTTTCTCCATTTTCATTTTGTTCTTATCATGTACGTTTCACTTTCATTAAAGCACACAAAATGCAACTCTGTTTCCATGGATCAACATTGTTTCTTTTGCATCTGTAACAAAGAGGCACTATTTGACGCTATGGGCTGAGAGCTGATTGGCTGAGTGAGGGTGGTCCTCTCTTTTTCAACTTTCTGTCTGAAAAAGATGGGACAGGGGCCAAACAGCACATGTACAGTATGTGACACTGTTTAGTTACTCTTTTAGAGCCAGCAACTATAGTTATATGGATTTTATTACATAGTTCATCTCAGAGGTTTGAAAGTTAGGTTCCCCTGCTTTAACTATGTATTGGTTGAAGTTGAAAAATTATTGTTTTACTGTAGGCCCTACCTGATTTGATGCAAATAGAATCAACATAATAATTGTTGGTCAAATACATTCTAACACAACCTCAATAGTGATGTGATTCCCGAACTATTCTTACTTCCTGTTTACTTTAAAATCTAAAACATGCTTTAAAAAACTATAAAACAAAAAGTATTTTTTGACTAGCATGGAATGTTTTTGTTAAATCCCTTACTCCATCAGTTGCTGTGACGGTCAGATCAAACTTCTCCAGGCCGTCGTCCCGGTCCAGAGTGGTGCTGGTGCAGATCTGCCCTGTCTCCTTGTGGATGGTGAACTGAGTGAGAACAGCGCCCCCTCCTGGTGAGCCCATAGTGTAGGTGATGGCACCAAACGAGCCGCGGTCTTCATCTGTGGCTGTGACCTGCCAAGAGAAATAAAGCAATCAATATAGGACAATTCATAGATTTTTTTTCTAAACAGTTGAAGTTGAACATTGTTTCAGACCTAAAACAGGAATACCTATATTTTTTTCTGAAATGATACATTTTCCCATTGTCCCAACAGAAACAGACTTGTAATTTGAAAATGTTATAAGGAAATCAGGCCTAATCTGATCTAAAGATGTGGCAGAAGCCAAATATCGAGCATGTAGAGAGAGAGGAATTCCTTTGGATTTTATTGAATAGTTATGTACCCAAGCTTTAAGGCCTTTCTCACAGTCTCACAAAAAGTCTTTGAAAAGCAGACTTTGCATATTGAGTCCTGACTCTGGGCACCAGCAGGAGGAAAGTCCCTGAACTCTAAAAGAAACCAAGCGTGAGATAATGCTGGTTAAGTGATACCCAATGGTCCATGGACCCAAAGGTACGACCATGAAGCGCCCAGCAGGTTTTAGAAGCAAGAAAACGTGTCTAAATAAGTAAAATACAATCAAGGACTTCTTTCTGGTATCGCAATAATGCCAACTGCAGCACGCAATGTTCAAACGGAGACTGCTACTTATACAGTTGTCTAAATATTACACACCATAAGTACTTGTTATGATCTGCAGCCTACTATAAAACATCTGTTCCTTTTATTTCCCATTGAATGACATTTTTTGCGGCGACTTTGAAACTCTGGTATAGTGAACAGGTGGGGCCCATTAGAGCTACAATGGAGTTTAAATAAAGACAATGAGGACACAACATGGCACTGGACAGCACAAGAAAAGGAGGAGAGTTGAATCAAAGTTGTAATTTAGGTTTCTGCGGTCGTTGGTGAAACTCTGGGCTTTTAGTGAGAGGGTGTATTTAAGGTTTTAAGACTTGCAACACTGGGGACACCTCATATTTGGAGCCACATTTTGCAATCAACAGATGTCTTAACTTCTCGTTTTAAAGATCTAGGCCATTGTCTCGATCCAGTATGTTGATTTTTTTCTTTAATAAGTGGGTTTTAGAAGTCGATGTCATTGAAGAGAAAGGGCATTGGTTGTCCTGTATCGAACGGTTGAGAAACTAAGGCCCTTTGGATTTTATGGATTTCAGTTCGACATTATCAACACCACTTTATGAAAACCGTCTGAAATCGTAACACAAAGGTCTACATCCATCTCGATTGCTTTTGTTTACTGCTTTTTGGATCTACAAAGTGGTGCTGATTGGCCTTCCAAGGTCTCCAAATCTACATTTCTGTGATACCTAACCAAGTCAGAGTTAGGAAGACTTGATATAGGCATTGGTTGGGAAGCAGACAAAAAGATGTGCACAGAGAAAAATAGGGTAAAAAATGGAGGGAAGCCGGTTTATTATATGGAAAGTCTCTATTGTTTTTACCTATAAACAACAACAAACAGACTCAAATAGTTTTATGAAAGAATAGGGACTGATGACTGTTATAATTTACTAGAACACAGAATGCAATGATCAAAATCCAACTACCGGTAATTTTGCAAAGTGTAATTTGCTCGCTCTACTTTGGCAGGAGACAAAATTGCTTTTCCTTCTTATAATTACTTTTTAAACAACTTTGAAGGTCTGAATAATACAACACAATCCAATTTCCTCCAGTTTGTACAGTGACCCCCATTTGCACACACATTGCTTTGACCAGCTCATATCCTCTCCTTTTCATTCATGCGACATCAGAATGACTCACACTCCTATATGACATTATAGAAATATTAAAAAACGCTCCTCAGAGGCTGTCGAGTCACTTTTTCCCCGGAACATTTCTACCTATCGCTTCCTCTTCTGCGATGACTATTTACAAGTGGGGATTTAGACCACGGTTTGAACTTCCCACAGGCTACAATGTTGAGACTAGTAGAATCTATATGATCTGGGTGTAGCTCATATCTGGGACGGTAATGGATTAGCCACCTGTGGAGAAAAAGGTTCCACACACAAAGATGACCCCATACTTTGGACTAAATCTAATTAAAGGGCTTACGACCGCCGTCACCACCCACCTGGCTGCATGACTTCAGCTCTATCTATGTCCCACCGCGGACGGCACACGTGGGAACAGACAGATGGATATGAATGAATCGAGGCGGAAGCAGAAAATGATTTAATGATTTGAGTCGCAATGTGTGAAATAATACTATGGGAATTCACTTTGGATGTACAGAAGTATTACAGGCAATGTACATGTTTACAATAGTAGTGAATGATGACGCATTAGAACAGAACTTGCTCAAACACAGATTCGGATAAACATATATCTTTTTGTCGACAGTGGCTCAGTTGGTAGAGCATTGGCCTTTGAGCCCAAAGGTTGTGGGTTCAAGCCCACCTCGAGACCTTCTCCACTGACTCTACTGATATCTGCTGTCGTTGTGTCCTTGGGCAAGACACTTAACCCACTTTGCCTATAAGGAGCGCGGAAGTGATGTTCGCTGCTTGCCTGTATGTGTATATGTATATGTATATTTATGTATGTATATGTGTATGTGTATGCATCAAACTGAAATTTCCCCATTGCGGGACGAACAAAGGACCTTCTTCTTCATCCTACTCCTCTTCTTTTTTCATGGAATGTATAACTGTTGTACTTGCTGGATTGTTGTGGTATTTTATTGAATTATCACAAAAAAATTGAGTGACTATATATAATCTTATTGCCTTGTATGAATTCTATGATTTCTATCTTGTTTCTACATTGTTTTGTAAAGCACTTTGAATTGCCTTAGTTGTGTATGAACTGTGCTATACAAATAGCCTTACCTTGCCTTTGTTGATCTATATACAGTTTATGGGCAGCTTTCATTCCCGCAGCTCTATCTAATGCAGATGGAAAACTATACATAATTCCATACCAGCCGAACTACAATTTAGATGAACACAAGCAAAAGGTGAACCGAGGAAGTTATGTAGTGCACCTTTTTAATAGTTCTGTGACATGAGCAAGCGTTTTTATTGTTTTATACTTGGTGGTATATAAAGAAAGTGGATTGGATTGGATTTTTCTATCATATGGGATTTTGCTTCTTCTTTATCAGACAACAGTGGGTTAGCAATGTTATTACCTTCAATTGGGATTTGTCTTGTTTTTCTGTGGCTCTTAATTGCATAATAGTCATGGCCTAATCTTGACATCCTTTTTAAACCAACCTTTTTACAAAAAAAGCTTACTGTTGTTGATTTTTCTCCCCCTCTGGTTAAAGATATGCACATACATGACAGATTTAGTTCCTAAGTACACGCCACAAGAGACCTATTGTAAGTGAGCGGAGGTTATCTGACTCGACTCGCCAGAATTCACTTTGCATCAACCAAGATTTGCAACGCACTTATCTCATCTTCAAAATCCAAACGGCCGATAAAGTAATCTAGTAAACACACACTCACTAGACGTCGCTTTAAATCAAACAATACAGTGAGCCAGACTACGGTGTTTGCCAGAGGAAGAAGTTCTCCCACGCCAAGGCCAACGTCTGACAACCCTCAACGAACCTCCATGTTGTCCAAACGAAAGCAGAGATAAACACGATTACATAGCAACACACCGAGACAGGAGACCACGGTTTGCAATCCTCGACAAGTTCTGCTAGTCTAATTTTCCATAACGTGTGGTTATATAGCCCATTGCAGCCGACTTTGGCATCAATAAGTTTGCGAACGTGGTCAAGTTGTCAAAAAGTATGTATTTTCATTACGGGGTCAAACAGTCTTCACCTCCTCTGTGCAACATCCTTCAATTTTAACCATTCAAAAGGACAAAGACAGGCAATATCAATCAATCACTATACACGCTTAGTCAACTCAATGCTCTATTATGTTATAAAATAAAAGGACAAAAGTGGAAATGCGCCAAGTGGATTTATGATACATTTGCCATGGAGTGAAAATAACGTGTGGGAAGGCAACAGTGAGTTTCACAAAAAGGCATGCTGCTATGTTAACGATGGGCGATTGGAAGTTAATGGGCTACGACGCGCAAATCCAACATGGTGGTTGTGTTACATTCATATTTTATATTAAAATGAAGCCAAGGTTTGAAAATATAAGTTGTGTGGACAAATGACGCTTCATAGTTTTTTGATTTATGAGAAAATGCTGCACTTAAACTAAAGCCACACAACCATAAAACATGTTAAAGCTTTTTACAACAATTTTTACATTTTATGGGCTTTTTATGAGCCATGCCCTTATGAGGAAAATGTGGGCAAGATTAGTCGCCGGCAAGATTAGTCGTTATGATATTAAAGCTTGGTGTAGAGTACGATGAATTTGTAACGTGTGCGGTCGGTGGTCGAGGAGGCTGTAGTGCACATTTAAGGGTTCTAATTTTGCTGTCAACTCTGCCCTGTCATATAGGCTCATTATTTACAATGCATAATAGTAAAAGAAACAAGAATATGAAATGATGATGGGAAGTTATAATTCTAGTAAAAGTTCAGTTCCATGTCTTAAAAACAGACCAATAATCCCCTTGTTCCCAATGGGCTACATCAACAAAAACAAGGAGTACTTCTTGATGTTTCTACTGTCAATAAGTGACCGCCTGGACCAAGACCATGACTAGGATTATCACATCTTCTCCAGGTGTGAAGAGGAACTTCTGGTTGCTTACTGGTTGTTTTTTTGCCACAATAATGCAATTATAATATTTCACAGCATGTTTTGCAATGTTAGTTCATGTATGATCTATCTCATATAAGTTGTAATCTTATTCAAGTGCATCATGCCTGTTAATAAAAGACAATTATTGTAAATTTCTCGATTGTAAGATAAATAATATCCATCGATTTTCTTCCCCTCAATCCATTTAATGTTCTCAGTCAGAGCTGCACAGAACACCAGCCCCTCCTGCAGGTGGTGAGTCCACAGGAGGATGGCTGCACTGGTCTGAGCTGCCTTGATCTTTCAGCAAGGGCTTCAGGCAAAGTTGGGTTAAGGCTATATCCACACGAAGACAAAACGCTTATAATTTCAGAAACTTTTTCTGTAAACACGGAGTTAGCTCAGTAAATGTGTCCGTCCATATGAATGTAGTCAATACGCCTGAAAACGCTGTGAAACTATGCCAGACCTGTTGGTGGCGCTGTGACGCAATGACGGGATCAAGCCCAAACTTCCGTGACGGGAACTGGGCATGCGCGGAATTTTGTAAACAGACAACATGGCGAGTGGGCGAGCTGGTACTACATTAGTATGGACGGACGATGAGGTTGAACTGTTGCTTCGGGTCGCACTGGATTACAAAACCAACAAGCTACATTGTTGTTGTCATTATTTTCTGAGTGCGGCGCATGCGTGCTTTAACAAGAGGCGGGGCGATGACGCAAGCGTCTCAGATACATTGCGGAGAGGCAGTAACCACGGAGCGGCATATACGGAGTTTTGAAATCTTTCCACTCTGGGACCTAGTTTCAAAAATGTTCGTTTACACCCCCCCAAAACGCCGGCCTCGTATGGACGATACACTGGATTGATAAAGTATTTTTGCGTTTAGGCCTGAGCTTGACTTCGTGTGGACAGGGCCTAAGTGTCTTGCCCAAGGACACAACGGCAGCAGACATCAGTGGGAGTCATGAAGTAGTCACACACTTCAGGCGGAAAGGCCTATGCTCTACCAACTGAGCCACTGACGCCCCCAAAGTCTTTCTTATCTTATTTGTCAACAGACTTCAGTACATATCTGATCAATTACTTTTGAAAAGATTTTAGAATAGATTATGTATTTCAAACCTGCATAGGTTTTCACATAATCCTAACGTACACAGCTATACAGATATTGAGTTGAATGAGGAACACATGGATCAAGACTCCAAGAATCAGGACAGTATGTTGGCTACATTCGTGCACATAAGCACATAACCTTTTGTCAAGTTATAAATATTTTCAATTATATCAAACAAATGTGTGTCTAAATATCTTTAAACAGTTGCCTTGCATGCGATTCCAATGAGAGCATTTGTGTAACCCCTTCATTCAAACATATTATAAAAGCCTCATATGGTCAAAGTATGTGAAAAACAGCAGAGACTAAGCCAAAACTCAGGCCTGGATTTCCGCAGAGAACCATCCATCCCCGTGCGGGACGTCCGAGCAGCCATCCCTCACTGCAGCATTAGCAAACAGCAGTCGTCATCAGTCAAAGCTCACGGTGTCTCAGCTGCATCTCCTCTCCCCTACTTAGCGCTCCACTTTCACATGCTCCCGGCTCGCCCCTAATGTAAAGCAACAGTGTGAGGGGTCTCTGAGGTCTCACTCGTGCACCGTAGTCCCGAGTCCAGCACTTCATCTGCGTTTATCTTTCATTTGTCTCCAATGGCGCAGAAAAGGACTGGTCTGAGAGCGCTGAGTGTTGAATGAATGAATGGGATGGGCTCTGACGGTTGCCTATTGCTTGTTCCCATCAGCGAGTGGTGTAGTGTAGTTCACATTAGTGCAGCGTTTGTTGGCAAGATTACAGACAAGGAATAATGCTTGAAAAATATAGGTACAACTGTGTTAAATAAGTGCAGATGGAAATATTTGTGTGTGTCACGAACGGGATGTAAAGCTTGTCTTGTTTTGACAAATGCGCTACAAAAATGTTCCTTTTCCTCAGGTAAACTCTACCTCTGTAGCCCACTGAGCAGACATCTTGAAAATCTCATAATGATATAGAAAGCAAAACCATGTCCTATCAGGAATCCTATCTAAGAGTATATCTGCAGGCTAATATTCACTGAAATAACACAATTGCAGATGCAGACACAAAAACAAAAAACTCAGGGGAAGCAGTCATGCAGACACTGTCTGAATCAATATATTAATGTATAAATGTTTCTGATAGAAAAGACAGTACTTTCGGTCTTTTACATAAAAGGTTTTAGTCTTTTTGTTTTATATAATTAGTTGTAACAGATAATATTTCTTCAGCCATGAGTCAACGACAAGAACAATCCTATTACCAAAATCAAATCGCACAAGACACTCTGCGAGACATTAACTTACACATGCCTTTCTTGCTGTTGAAAAGTTATACATACAAAGAGTAGTATCAGTAGTTTAAATGAGAACGCTTTAGTTAATTAATTGCTATATATATTTTGATGGCCTTTGTGCAAACCTACACAAAACTTGATAGTGACTTCTGACTTGAGGACAGACCTTTGTCCTACACTTCCTCCGTCTGTGAGACTCCAGCTCTGATCATATGTGAATCTGTGCAGCTCTTTGGACACAGCTGGAGATCTGTAGCACTTTTACAACCTCTGCTTAAGAACCCCGTAATGAGCGCTGTAAAGCAGAGGTCTGCTGCTCTGCTCATCTGAGACCAGGCATCAAGAAAGTAGTCTGCATCTCTATAGGCATAATAACATGACACAGCCTTGTCTGCATGCAAACAAAGACACAGTTCAAGTTTGTGCATGGATTGAATAAGACTTTTCTCTCATTTGAACAACAGAAAGTCACTGTATTTAACTTTAGTTGCAAGATTATTGTAAAGAGCACAATCAAAAAATCAAACAATTCATCTTCAATAAAATAAATATAAATGCACCACTAGCTTTGTATTTTTGTCCAAATGTGGAAAATTGTTAGATAAAGGGCCAAAAAACGTGTATTTTTCTACTCAATCGTATATTGTATCATTTATAAATACATTGTATCGAATGGGAAGTCCCCTGTATCGTCATATGTATGTACTGTCAGGCTCTGAAAGATACCCAGCCCTTAAATAATGATCAGTCAGAGGAATACTACCTTAATTTTCTCACTTTTCAAACTCTGGACTTTTGGTCAGTTTTTTGAGCCTCTGTGCTTCAAAATAGTGTTTTACCTCAAATCCTCTTGGCTCAGTCTTATCAAAATACATTCTATAAAAAAACACCAATCTGTATTTGTAAATCTGTAAATTCCAAGCATTTTCTCCAGACTGTCTATAAATTATGCACCAACAAGGCACACATGATACCCCTCAAGTTATAATCAAGCACAATTATCCTTGAGCGGAGCAGCAATGACCATAAAAGACTAGAACTCAGAAAAGAATGCATCTTTACCGAGCAAATGGGGTAATTTACAATGAGCGTAAATACTAACCCTGTCTTTTAATAGAAATATGGTTGGGTCTAAAGGAGAGCTTTAACACTCCTGCTTTTCCTTTGTCACATTCTTTCGTTCTCCCGTGAGCCACTCTCTCAAAAAAGAATTCTCCAATCTCTGAAGCAATTTGTGCTCCCATGCTATCAAAAGACTGCAGCACTGGGCGAGGATTTAAGAAGTATGGAAAGGAAGTGAATTGAGCGGATGAGGAAGGCAGTTTTGTGAGATGCGATCATGATTTGGCAGGAAAATAATAGATGTATAGTGAAGTGATGACTTTGATATAATGCATGAGCAAAAGTTCCACAACAGTCAAGAGAAGGCTCCGCACTGGTAGGCTTTATGATTGTTGGAAGTAAACGTTTCAAACAATCCAAATATTTAGAGTTTGAAGACACAAGCTTGTTAATGGGGGGCTA